AAAATACCACCACTGCAGCTTCTCTTTCAAATAGGCTCAAGGATTTTGTAGGTAGAATATCTGGGTCTACCAGCACTCCTATCCAAACGCCTAAACAAATGCTTAAATTACAGGTCAATGGCTAAACCTAATTAAGAAAAACACATTCTTGTTTCAACATAGAAGAGACGTGCTTTTTTTTTTTTAAGATTTTATTTATTTGTCAGAGAGAGAGGGAGAGACAGAGTAAGCACAAGCAGGGGGAGGGGCAGGCAGAGGGAGAAGCAGGCTCCCTGTGTAGCAAGGAGCCTGATGCGGGACTAGATCCCAAGACCCTGGGATCATGACCTGAGCCAAAGGCAGGTGCTTAACTGGCTGAGCCACCCAGGCGTCCCAGGATATACTTTTTTATATTGAGTAAATATCCTGGATGTTATATTGAAAACAAAAATAAAAATTTGAAAATATTTTGTTATGGAAAAAAAAATATTTACCCCATTTTAATGAAGTCATTGACATACTTAAAAATCCAAAAAAGGGAAACTATAGGTTAAGAAATGTTAATAATACTTAAATCACATTAAGCATCATAATTTTGGATGGGTGTTTTAGAATAAGGTTAACAACTTTCTAGTAATAATCTTGAAATCATTTAGTAGAACTTCCTAGAAAGATCAAAGAAAAACATGAGATTCACCAAAATGAGTCTAGGTAAATGTCTTACTGTAAGTCAGGTGCCCCAAAAATACTTATAAAAATCCTATTTCAGAAAAACTAAGTATAGTATTAGCATTTCTTTTAGAGTTTGGTCAGTAACTAAATAGGCTCTTTCCTACTAAATTTTCAGTTATTTATCTAAAATTGCCACACAGAGATACCTGGTTGGCTCAGCCAGTTGAGCATCCAACTCTTGATTTCGGTTCAGGTTGTGACCTCAGGGTTGTGGGACTGAGCCCCTAGCTGGGCTCTGTGCTCAGCGCTCAGCAGGGAATCTGCTTGAGGATTCTCTCCCTCTGCTCCCCCACCACTCCTGCGTGCCCCCTCCCGTGCTCTCTCTCTCAAATAAATAAATCTTCAAAAAAAAATTTAAATGGCCATACAAAGGCAAATGACAAATGATTTACATTTCAGCATTTATTCTTCCTATTCTAAAAGAATACACCCAAGTTCAAAGCAATTTACCAGGCTTTCTTTGTAAGTATAAATATAGTGAGCATGTGCACAGAAGACTCAATGCTACAAATTACACATGAATTGGGATTTTGTACAAAAGTTCAGATTGAACCTCTTACCAATCTACTGGTAATATATAAGAAATTTGCTTACTTTACCTCTATAACTTTAGAATTCCATTCATCCAGATACCATATAGCCCAATAGTATCTGTGCTATGCCTCAAATAAAATAGGTGCTTAATAAATACTTGCTGATATATCAAAATGTTTTCTGTGATCCTATCCCATAATATAACAGCCTAGCTCACGCAGTCATTCACCAGGACCCAGGAAAAGCAGCAGCCTATAACAACACATTTAACACCTTGCTCACTGGTCCTCTACCTCTCAGTCTCTGTGTTAAGAAGGTAGACATAGGGACGCTAAGAAAAGCAGGTCTAGATAATTGGGAATGGTCTGGGATACGGGCAGAGTGCTTAAAAAGTTCTTGATTTTCAGGCACAATGTTCGGTGTCATCAGCTCTTGGGAGCAACTATGAGGCTTCCCTGAAGATACTGGAAGTAAAATTGCCCTCTTTGAATTACCTCTGAGCACAACATGTGAATGAATTAGAGTAGAAATATACAAAGTCACCTGAAAGCCACAAACAGACCATGCTTGGATGGATATTGTCACTGGAACTGAAAATTCAAGCCAAGTCTCCAGTGTTAGCAACAATGGAATCTTGAAGGCTGCTCCTCAGGAAACACACACCCTGTGCATAGACTCAGCCCTGGGGAGCCATTCTTCCTGTTTCTGTATAGACTTTATCCTTCTCTTACCTGATGCTATAGGCAATGCATTCATCTAACTCCCCTCATTCTGATTCACCTTCATATTTCTGTTTTCATTTCCCACATTGTCTGCCCAGGCTAGGGAAAAATTTGCTGGTCAAACCTATGCAAGTTTTATCCACATCTGTAAATTGACATCCATGTTCATATATTGGTCTTACAAGCTTGATTTCTAAGTCCACCCTGAAAGATGGATGTGCTCTCCATTTGCTGATGAAATCAGTTTCCAAGCCTGCAGTGATGCAAGTCAAACTCTGGACTACACAGTCACCCAAAAATGCAACTCCCTGAGGCCTCTTGGGAAGTGGCCAACTGACTCTCCAGACACTGTCTCTTTCCACTGATGAGAAGCCAAGTGAGCTATTGCCCCATTTAAAAATTTCTACACTTAGAATATTACAGCTTTTACTTAGGAAAATCAGTTTAAATGCAGTAAAACCAATGTCAAAGTGAATCATAAATTATATCAGATGTTCTGGTTCAGCATCAAATAAACATGCTAGCTCAAAAAAGGTATTTTTTAAAGAGAAAGTCTCACTTGAACAAGTAGGTAAGGAAGAGCTACTAGAGATTAATAGAAATTTAGACTTACCCGATGCAATGGGTAACCAAATGCAGTGAGTGACACCTTGTTATTGCAAACAGCCTGTGGGAGGCAGAGTAACAGCCCCTCCCAAAGACCTCGACATCCTAATCCTCAGAACCTGTGAATATGTTACTTTACATGGTAAGAGACTTTGCTGGTGTGATTAAGTTAAGGGTTTTAAAATGGGGAGGTTATTCTGGGTTATCCAGATGGGTCCAATATAATCACATGGGTCCTTAGAAGCAGAGAACCTTTCCCAGCGGGGGTCAGAGAGAGATAGGATTTTGGAAGAAAGATCAGAAAGATGCAGCATTGCTAACTTGGAAGACAGAAGGGGACTAAGAGCCAAAGAATGCAGGGTCTAGATGCTGGAAAAGGTAAGTAAACAGGTTCTCTCCTAGAACATCCAGAAAGGAATGTAGTACCTTGATTTTAGCACCAGTGAGGCCCATGTCAGACTTCTGACCTAAAGAACTGGTAAGATAATAACTATTGTTTTAAGTCACTAAATTTACAGTAATCTGTTACAGGAACAATAGAAAACAAATATACAAACTCAAAGATATTTTGAGACAAATTAGGAGATTTAAATAGGGATTGGGTATTAAATGGAGTATTGAGGAATTAATGTTAATTTTTGTTAGGGTATGATAATAGTGTTTGGGCTACGTTTCAAAACTTTTTGTTAGAGACGACATAGTGATATTTATAGTTGAAAAGATACAATGGAAGCTGGGATTTGCCTTAAAATACTGCCCCTTCCCCCGAAAAGGTGGGGGGATAGATAAGACGTTAAAATTGGCAAAGGTTAATTGTTGAAGATAGGAGCTCATGCTACTATTCTTTTACTGCGTATACTTGAGATTTTCATAGTCAGTTTTTTTTTTAAGTGAATTGAATTAAGAAAAAGCACCTGAACACTACAGATCAGCACTGTCCGAAATGGTTTTCTGTGATGATGAAAAAAATGTTCTGCGCCTGCACTGTTCAATGCAGCAGCCACTAGCCATGGGGCTGACGAGCACCTAAAATACAGCTAGTATAACTGAGGAATTGAAGGTTTAGTTTCATTTCATTTGAATGAAGTAAATTTAAATAGTCCCATGTGGCTAGTGGCTACCATATTACACAGTGTATCTCTAGACATTAGAAGGGGCCATGTTAACTTACTATTAGAATTCAAATAAGTAAGCTCATGAATCAGTTAAGTGCCCATCTGTTATTTTTGTCTGCCCAGCCTCTCTTTCCCTTTCTCGCTACTAGCACCCAGCTCTTACCTCCTACCCTCACTCCTGGGGATCTTCTGTATTGGTAAGTGAAGTAGCTCCCTCGATCAGTTGTATGGATGGAAACCCTACAACTGCTATCATGTTCCCTTGACACACTGAGGTTCCTGAGAGAATAAAAACAAAATTAGGATGAAGATGGACAGAGTCTTGATTCTCAAGTTCTTACAACCAGTTATCCCTAGGGAATCAACTCCATTCCTACTTTCCCTTGTTTCAGTTGGATAAACCAGTAAATTCCTCTTTCTGCTTATGCTATTTTTGAGGCAAGTTCTATCACTTGCAACCTACAATACAAGGTCCCATAAAAAACTTTTTGCGTGCCAGGATCACTAGCAAAATAAGATTAACGGCACTGCTATAGACTGAATTGTAACCCCCTGAAATTAGTTATGTTGCAGCCCTAACCCAACCTTCCCTCCCATCTGACGATATTGGAGACAGGGCTTTTAAGGAGGCTATTAAGGTTAAAAGAAGTCATAAGGGTGGAACCCTGGTGCCCTTATAAAAAGAGGAAGAAATGACAGAGCTCCCTCAGACAAGTACAGACACAGGGAGAAGGCAGCTATCTGCAGCACAGGAAGAGCCCTCATCAGACCCCAACCATGTTGTCACCCTGATCTGATTTCCAGCCTCCAGAACCATGAGAAATTTGTTTCAGCTGCCCAGTCTGATATTTTGTGACAGTAGCCCTAGCTAAGATGGGTACCAGGATAGCTCCCCTAGTGCCAATTATTACCAGTTCTTTCTTCAAGGTGAAGTACACCCTGATTAGCAAAAATATCGATATATTGAGATGTTATTATTCCACTCGCATTCTTGATTTCAGCTTAGACTGGAGTAGTTTTTCATTTGGTTTTTTCCTTTTTTTTTTTTTTTAAAGTAGGCTCCATGTCCAACACAGGGCTTGAACTCATGACCCTGAGATTGAGAGTCACATGCTCTACCAACTGAGCCAGCCAGGTGCCCTGGTTTTTACTTTTTTAACTAAGAAAAAGATCAGTCCAGCTATCTTGAATCTCATTATCAATTCAGGAGGATTACAAGAATGTAGAAAAAAAGTTTTTAGTGAGCTTAAGCAGCCAGAATTGTATTACTAGTAATGGGGAGAAAAAGCTGATATATCATAGTCAAATTCAATTATTAATTTTTTACTTTATTCCTTTTATCAACAGATTAAGAAAGTGAAATTCTCCTACATGCTGATTTATAGATAATGTTTATAAGCAGCACACAAAACACTGTTTCACAAAGAGTAATATTCAGTGATCCCTTTAAATGCAGTTTTAATCCTTATTTTAAACTAAGTGCAATAATTTAATAAGCTAAACACACACAAAACTTGTAAATCCTGAACTACAAAAGTGGTGTGCATAGCCATATATGGTTTTAGTCAAGTACACATTTCCACAACGAACAAGTACTAACAAATACATTAATAAAACACTATCCCAAATGCTTATCCTGCCATCAGCTTTTTAAGCAATACCATTCCTACTACTGAAAGCATTTATTTTTAGAAGCTTTAATCTGACCTGGGAAAATTAGTTCTCTTAAAACTTGGCAACTAGTACATTATAAGCCCAAAAGGTTTAAAATCAAAAGCCTTCCAATACGGAAGAATTCACATGAAACTTTTAGTTTAAAAAAATAATCATTCTTGTAATCTAAAGAATATTAAAACAAATATCTTAAACATTCCTACAAAAGACTATTATTTTCTTGTATCATCTTCTCCTTAAAAAAAAAAAAGCAAACCAGTTCACTATCTTTTAATAATCTCTTAGACTACCGTAGTCTAAAAACTTTAGAATACATGAAACATGTCTTAGCAATCATAGTCGAAGGTGCCCTATAGATTTCATATATTAAACAGCTATGGTATAGCGTACACTGGCACAAATACACCCAAAACATAAATACTACTTCATCACTTAGACAGTCAAAAGTCAGAAGGAACCGCATAGTTTGCAAGGTACTTCAACATACATGTGGTCATTAAAACCCAGTAAGTAATTCAAGTATAGTCATATAAGGGCAGGCAATTCAAGGCTCAAATATCACTCTAAAATCGAAGACATGAAAATAAAAGCTGAAGACTTTGTTTCTCCATCTTGCATATACATGACTAGATAGTGGGACCCCAATGTGGAAAATATACAGTTATGATATATGGTTTCCCCAGAAGATAATGAAGCTTCAGAAAGTACAGAAGGTGTCAAGATCCATAGTTTGCTTCATCAAATGCTTTTCTAGCTCGTTTCAATTCTTCATTCATAGTAAGCAAGTCTTTAACCCTAGCAAACTTCCTTGGGTCCTTTCGAATCAAGAAGACGATATCTTCAACTTGTACCCGACCTTGTCTTCCAATTGACATTGCCTTGTGAGTCTATTACAAAGAAATAAATTAACTTAGAACAAATCTAATACTTTACTCTTTTAATTTGCATTTATTTAATACTGGTGAGTTAGGAGATGTTCTCTTCTAATTATCATAGCTATTCATTTGTGAACTGTCTTCCTATTCATGTCCTTTGTCTACTTTCTACTGTGTTATAGGAATGTTCCTCTCAATGGTTTATAGACATTTTTTTTTTTAAAGATTTTATTTATTCATGACAAACAGAGAGAGAGAGAGAGAGAGAGAGAAGCAGAGGGAGAAGCAGACTCCCAAGGAGCAGGGAGCCCAATGCGGGACTCGATCCCGGGACCCTGGGATCATGACCTGAGCCGAAGGCAGACGCTTAACCATCTGAGCCACCCAGGCGCCCTATAGACATTTTTTAATACTAAGGACATTACGGAGCGCCTGGGTGGCTCAGTCGTTAAGTGTCTGCACTGGGCTCAGGTCATGATCCCAGGGTCCTGGGATCGAGCCCCGTGTTAGGCTCCCTGCTCCGCAGGGAGTCTGCTTCTCCCTCTCCCACTCCCCCTGCTTGTGTTCCCTCTCTCGCTCTCTGTCAAATAAATAAATAAAATCTTTAAAAAAAAAAAAAAATACTAAGGACATTAGGGACGCCCGGGTGGCTTAGTTGTTAAGTGTCTGCACTGGGCTCAGGTCATGATCCCAGGGTCCTGGGATCGAGCCCCACATCGGGCTCCCTGCTCCACAGGAAGCCTGCTTCTCCCTCTCCCACTCCCCCCTCCTTGTGTTCCCTCTCTCGCTGTGTCTCTCTCTGTCAAATAAATAAATAAAATCTTTAAGGAAAAAAATACTAAGGACATTAAAACTATCAAATCTATTGATGTTTCTTTTTTGATCTATGTAGCTTTTGTCTTCATTTTTATAATTCTATAATTTCTTTGTAACTGCACATTTCATTTAAGCTTTCTGTCTCAGTAGTTGATAGTGGTAGGTTTTCTTAAATTCAAATAAATCTCATCTCCTATCATATATTCATCCTATACAAAAACAAAGATTTGGGGTGCCTGGGTGGCTCAGTCGGTTAAGCATCTGCCTTTGGCTCAGGTCATGATCCCGGAGTTCTGGGATCAAGCCCCATGTTGGGCTCCCTGCTCAGCAGGAAATTTACTTCTCCCTCTGCTCCTCCCCCTGCTCATTCTCTCTCTCTCTCTCTCTCTCTCTCGCTCACTCTCTCAAATAAGATCTTTAAAAAACAAAGGTTCATCATAGCATTATTTCAAATGACTAAAAAAGGGGAATCTAAGTATTTAGTAAGGCATTAAATAAATTTGGGCACATCTCATCAATTAACATTATAAAGCCATTAAAATTATAGAGTGTTATGCAAGGACACAGAGGACAGCGTTCTACTTAAGTGAAAAAGCAGGCTCTAAGACTAAATATACTATATGATTTCAATTTAATAAAGTTCAAAAATATGTGCAAAAAAACAAGAAAATATTCACCAAAATCTCAGCATTAGCTGTCTCTAGGTGGAAGGATTACAGATTTCTATTTTCTTTTCTGCATTTTTTTTTAAAGATTTTATTTATTTATTTGAGAGAGAGAGAGAGAGAGGGAGAGAGCATAGAGGGAGCGTGAGAGGGAGAAGCAGACTCCGTGATGAACAGAGAGCCTGATGCAGGGTTCGATCCCAGAGCCCTGAGATCGTGACCTGAGCCAAAGGCAGATGCCCAACTGACTGAGCCACCCAGGCACCCCTTTCCTGAACTTTTTAATACTTTCTAAATTTAATAAGTATTACTTTTATAAATGGAAAAGAATTTTTAAAAATGCATACTGTCTGACGCAGGAATTTTACTTCTATTATTCTGTACTAAGGAAATAATCCTTAACACACGGTAAAAATTCATAGAAACACAACCGAATTCAACATTCCCAGCCCTATGAATTTATCCAAGGAGATGGGAGGAAATTTCATGAATACAGTCATTCAAAATTATCTATTCACTTAATAATCTATAATAACTTATACGAGAGAAATGGTTAAATATATTAGGAAACAATTTAATTTTACTTAACTACTAAAATAACTGTGATTAGAATATAGGAAGTATGTACTGTAAAATTGAGTAAAAAATGCGTACCATGATTACCACTATGTAAGCACTATATACTTTTTTAAGATTTTATTTACTTGGGGCGCCTGGGTGGCTTAACCGTTAAGTGTCTGCCTTCAGCTCAGGTTATGATCCCAGGGTCCTGGGATCGAGCCCCGCGTCGGGCTCCCTGCTCAGCGGGAAGCCTCCTCTCCCTCTCTCATTCCCCCTGCGTGTGTTCCCAAAAGATTTTATTTACTTGAGAAAGAGCATGAGAGGAGAGAGGGAGAAGCAGACTCCCTGCTAAGCAGGGAGCCTAATGTGGGGCTCGATCCCAGGACCCCGAGATCATCACCTCAGTTGAAGGCAGAGGCTTAAATGACTGAGCCACCCAGGCGCTCCAGCATTGTATACATTTAAATAAATACTGAAGGGGGAAACTTACATTAGATGATGGGATTATGGTTACTATTTTTAAATTTTATTCAAGGATCTTGTAATTGTGTCCTTATAAATAAAATTCAGGAGAGGGTATACTATTGTATATGTACATATGTACATGTGTGTATGTTTAATGATAAACAGTAATCAGTAACTTCCACAAAAAGGCACTCAAATGGATAATCTTATTTCAAAAGGATGGCATAGTTCTAGTCTTAACTAAAAGTTAGAATTTCAAATCTATTACTCAATTAACTAAGACCAATTACAAAAAAATCTTACCATTTCAGTGATAAACTCTATGACAAGGTCTTCAAGAATATCCACTGACTCAGTATAAGGATTCTGGTCATCCCCAAACCCATACATCATACATCGCACTGTAAAAGAACAATCGGTTTTGTTTACTTGAACAAATTTAACAATTTTACCAATACTTTTTTCAAATTACAAATGGACTTAGAGAAGATACTTGTATAAACGTATTTACATTGTGTCTACAAGTATGGACTTAGGTGTAAAAGATTTTAACCACAATCTCATAACCAACTGTTCCTATCTGTCCTTCCCTAGTAGGAACTCCCGTTCCCTCCCAGCTACTGAACCCTGACATCAATATTCTTTCCCCAACCTCTATTACCTATTCACCCACAACCCTGGAATAACCTGAAGTAGGAAACGCCATGGCAGTGACAGGATGAGTAGCAAAGGCTCAGCCCTTACTGGAAGTGTTCTGTGCGTATATGGTCTGGGGTTAGGGGAGGGCAGTGGTGCATTGGAAAAGAGAAGGCAAAATCCTTTCTGATACTAAGAGAGGGAAAAGGACATGAGAGAAAGTGCTCCAATTACTTCTTATATGAAGAACAGGGTAGCCTTCCTTTCGGCCGGAACTGCCATCTTCCAGTAATTTGCCAAAATGACCAACACAAAGGGAAAGAGGAGAGGTACCCACTATATGTTCTCTAGACCTTTTCGAAAACATGGAGTTGTTCCTTTGGTCACATACATGCGAATCTATAAGAAAGGTGATATTGTGGACATCAAGGGAATGGGCACTGTTCAAAAAGGAATGCCCCACAAATGTTACCATGGCAAAACTGGAAGAGTCTACAATGTTACTCAGCATGCTGTTGGCATTGTTGTAAACAAACAAGTTAAGGGCAAGATTCTTGCCAAGAGAATTAATGTACGCATTGAGCATATTAAACACTCAAAGAGCCGAGACAGCTTCCTGAAGCGTGTGAAGGAAAATGATCAGAAAAAGAAGGAAGCCAAAGAGAAAGGTACTTGGGTTCAACTGAAGCGCCAGCCTGCCCCACCCAGAGAAGCACACTTTGTGAGAACTAATGGAAAGGAGCCTGAACTGCTGGAACCCATTCCCTATGAATTCATGGCATGATAAATGTAAAGAAAATAAAAGACCTCAAGACTAAAAATGTTAAAAAAAAAAAAAAAAAAAAGAACAGGGTAATCAAAATGGAGAAAGCAAACTATGTAGAATCTTGGTATTTCATTCCCTAGATCAATGAATGCACTGCTAACAAAGTCCTTTCAGGCTTCATCTGAAAGAACCATAGAAAATGCAAAAGAGAAAAAAAACTCTAATACAGAGTAATAAAAATAAAACTCATTTAATCCTCACAATAATCCTTTGAAGTAGATACTCTTATTATCCCTATTCCATTTAGGTAAGAAAACTGAGGCACTGAGCTAAGTGATTTACCCACGGTCACACAGATAGTAAGAGATGGAGTCCACGTTTGAACGCAGGTGATCTGGCTCCAGAGTCTATATTCCTATCCTTAACAGTATTACACTTCTGGGTAGTTTAAGGCAGATGGGAGCCATATGGATTATCATTCTATAGGCTATAAATCCCCAGTTAGTCTATGGACAGGCTTTGAGAAAACCTTGAAGCCTTCTGAAATTATATGTAAAAGTTTTATATATTATTTGTGTGTGTGTGCACTGTTCTACAAAGAATAATCAACTCTTATCAGATTCTGAAAGGGGTATATAAATGTTAACAAAAAAAAAAACCCTATCATAGGTTGGAAATATTTTGTATCTGAGTGGTGGTTATAAGTATATGTAAATACATAAAATTCATCAAGCTGTTCATTTAAGACTAGTACAATTTGGGCGCCTGGGTGGCTCAGTCGTTAAGCATCTGCCTTAGGCTCAGGTCATGATCCCAGGGTCCTGGAATCAAGTCCCACATTGGGCTCCCTGCTCAGTGAGAAGCCTGCTTCTCCCTCTGCCACTCCCCCTGCTTGTGTTCCTACTCTCGCTGTGTCTCTCTCTGTCAAATAAATAAATAAAATCTTTAAAAAAAAGACTAGTACAATTTAAGTACAGTAAAAACAAAACAAAACAAAAACCCCTAAAACACTTCAAAAGGAAGAAATGAGTACATTAAGAATAATTCCTATTTAGGAGAAGCAAAAGTTGGTCGAACTGAAAGAATTAGGTACACCAGGTCTAGGGAGGAAAAGAAAGGGGTGATTTGGAAGTCAGGCTGGGATAGAGGTATCCCTAGGGTTTAAACTGGCAAGAGCCTTTAGGTTCAGATACAGTGGGTACAAAACAAACACAAGAGCCAATATTTTTTGTCCCTTTTGGATTCTGACAACTTTTTTGCCTTTTCTAAGATAATTTCAGACTTACAAAAGAGTTACAAAAATAGGACAAAGCTCCCAAATACCCTATATTCACCATCCCCTGATGTTAACATCTTATAGAGCCACAGACATTTATCAAAATGAAGAAATTAACACTGATACAAGTACAGAACTTACTCAGATTGTACCAGTTTTTCAACTAATGTCCTTTTTCTATTTCAGGATCCCACACTAGTTATCATGCCTCCTTACTTTCCACTGAGCAGTGACAGCTCCTCAGACTTTTCTCATCTTTCATGACTATGACACTTTGGAAGGATACTGGTTAGTGATCTTGTAGAATGTTCTCCAATTTGGGTTTGTCTGGTGTTTTCTCATGATTAGACTGTGGTTACACATTATTAGAAAGGGTACCATAGAGGTGATGTGCCCTCTTAATGCATCATATCGGAGGTACATGATGTTAGTATGTATTACTGGTGATACTGACTTTGATCATTTGGCTAACACTTTAGACATTACTTGTCTGCCAGGATTCTCCATTGTAAGCTTACTATTCTTCCTTAAATATTTGAGTAAGATACTTTGTCATTAACATTGTGATGGGCTTAATTCACTAGTATGTATGCAAACTGCATTTGGTTTGTAAGGACACAAATGCCAATGAATTCTTTGAAACTTTGTGTTATAGTAGCAAAAATTTTTTTAAAAAGGTTTAGGAGAACAGATCTTGGCCATTAAGGTATGTCAAGATTCAGGTAAGACAAGGAGAAGGCTGTGAAGATTCCAAAATCTTATCATCACAAAAATAAAGCAATCCAAGTAGAACAAAGGTTTCTGCTTAGAACTGACAATGCAAACATCACTCTGGGATGCTCTGGTGTGGAAATCCCCTTCTTAGGCTGATATAAGAAGTAAAAACACAAATGGAGTAAACAGTATCAAAGATGGATTAAGGAGTGGTCAGCTTTAGGTGAGAAACTGAGATATGGAGGATTTGAGTCCTTAAAAAAATATATATATATAAAGCCCTACTGACTGCAGTTTCAAGAGCATTTGGGAACCACTTGTTTGACCCAGCATAAATAAACCGTATCTTCATGTGTTGTCTCATCTGTCAATACTCAGCCATAACTATGTGTAAAGGACACAGGATGGAAAGCACATTGTCACAGTGCCTTTCAGGGGCTGGCTTTGACCATCACTAGGAACAGCAGCTCTCCCACTTGCTGCTGCCAAAAAGAGTCAAACCAGTCTACTGAGGGAATACACTAGAGAACCAATACATTATAATCTCTATGCCACTGTAATGTCTTACAATGTTTACCACCTTTCTGTCTTGTCCGATGCCTTAGTCCAAAGCCCCAACTTAATTCCATACCCTCAGCACCTGTCCAGGATCCATCAAAACCTTTGACTTGCGGACAAAGGAGTTCTGCTGCAATAGTAAGGGGCACAAAAAGTAATGGAGGTATGTTCTAAGGCCCTGAATTGAAACACTGATCACATTTCCTCACTTTAAAAAAAAAAAAGTGTATACACACACCCACCCACCTATACACATATAATTTGGGATTAGGATCACTAATATCTATGATTCAGAAGCTAAAGAGAATTTTATAGGCAAATCTGAGAGTACTGTCCCCACAGAAAAACACATTCAGAACATTAATCTACTTTGAACAGACATGTCCAAAAGTTTTTATCTGTAATTAAATCATTGTCAAATATTACTTACATTCTTTAGAAAAAAGTCTCTTCCTTTTACCCTGTCCGCCTTCTGCACCTCCTCCAATTTCTTCATTTTCTTCTTCAAACTATAAGTTAAAATGTATATATAGAAATGTCAAGCACTGCATTTGATTTTTAATTTTTTTTTCCATTTTCAACACTGATGTCATGCCAGAGAGCCTAAAACAATCAGCAAATCATGAAATCTTAGCATTTTAGGAGCCTTAAAGACTATCCAATCCAACTTCCCACTCATGCAGTAATGGCTTCTACAGTGTCCCTAACAAATAATCCTACTGCCTCTCCTGGAAGAGTTCCAGTGACCATACTTCTTTTTTTAAACCAACTAGTTAGCCTATTACTACAGAGTTTTACTATTAAGAGTTGGTATTTAAAAAAAGAGAGAGAGAGAGCTGGTATTTATTCAAAGTAAGCAAAACTAGTATTTTCTAAGCACTGCTCATACAGGGCTAGGAACTTTCCTCAAATAAGCCTTAACCCCATTTATGCCACGAAAACCGAGGCTCAAAGTTAAGTAACTTGCTCATAGGTAACAGATTTTGAAATCCAGGTTGCCTGACTTTCGGTCCATTATTTTCCAACAACTTTACAGTAAGTATATAGTTTTGTTACCAGCTGCGGTGTTCTTTCATTATGAGAGCTAACAAATATTAGCTTTGTCCTCTGATGACTGTCCGGGCGATTCAAAGAGTGCCTAGCAAATACAGACCAAAAGCAAAGAACAAGGAGCCACCTTCCTACTCTTCCTTCACGTCCTGCCCCACGTACTCTAAGACATGAATCCGAAGGGAAAGGCTAGCACGGCGTGAAGTCCCCGAACTCTCTCGAGTGAATTCGCTAAGGAAAATCTCGAGTGATTCTGAACTCAGGCTCCGCTTCTGTACCCTAGGGAGTGAAGAAAAGAGTGGGGTGGAACAGTGGTGATCACTCACAGTAGGGTCTTCCTCCTCGTCTGCCATGCCACCAGCCAGCCTACAGTGCTCCGCCGCCTCGCTCCCAGCGGGTTTTACTATTTCCTCTGCTTCACTTCCGGTGACGCGCCGGGCGGGGCGGGGCCTGGTCGGCCAGGTGGGGTGGGGTGCGGGGGCGGGGAAGATGCGCAGAAACTAACAGCAGAGGCCACGGAGTTTACGGAGAGGGCTGAGCTCTACGCTCTGTGATCAGGATCACGGATTAATTAAACATTAGCCAAAAAAAAAAAAAAAAAGGAACTCGTGGGCTGAGCGGTGTATAGCTTGTTGTGGCTCTGAATTGGCTTCTACATATCGAACCACCGCTTCCTGGTTTGGGGCTGTGAAGCTATGCGTTCTTGGGCTTCCCGAAGAGTGTATTTAAACAATTTTAACAACTTATAGTTACACTATTATTAATTGCCAAGCACTATACGGGTTTTTGGGCATGTTTTTCTTCGCTACTAGTTTTTAAGAGGAAAACACCACCCCTTATACTGAGGATTAAATATTTGTGGGGAGTTTTGTGTTCAGTTTTGTGTTCAGAATAATGAAAACCACCTCATTAGAAGGCTAAAGCTAGGGATATCAAATGTTCTGCAATGCAAAACATGATGCCACACAAGGAAGGGTCCCACAATATTTCTGAATGTCCTGCTAAAGATTCATGCGAATGAAAAATCTTTATCTGAGCCTAGAACCTAACATTGTTAACATATAGACACAAAGCCTGTCCTAGGCTCTTAACATTTGATTTTCTAGGAATGCAACTGTGAGATAATATAAAATATATATAGTGGTCTCTGCTGCCAGTTCCTGGCACAGAGCTCCTAAAACCCTTGCAATTTCCTAAGCGGTAAGAGCATAGGAGTATTTTTTGTTCTCATGAGGCAATTTAGGGTGGGCTCCTGGCTGGGGGCTGTCACCAGAAAGGCCAAGCCACAATCAGAAGGTTGGAGTTTTCAGCCCCAGCTCCCATTCTCCAGAGATGGGAGGGAGGCTGGAAATGTAGTTAATAATTGATCATGCCTACATGAAGCATGAAAATCCCAATAGTAGAGGGTTTGGAGAGCTTCCAGGTTGGGGAACACATCCACCTTTGGAGAGAATGACACACCCCCAACTCCACAGGAACAGAAGCTCTTCACTTAGGACCCACCCAGACCTCACTCTCATCATCTGGCTGTTTATCTAAGTAAATATTTCCCTGAGTTCTATGAGCTGTTCTAGCAAATAAATCCAAGGGGGAGCAAAGTCATGCGAACCTCTGATTTGTAGTCAAGGTGGGCAATCTGGTACCTACTACTTGTGATTGGCATCTCAAGTGGGAGGCAGTCTTGTGGGACTGAGCCCTTAGCCCATGGGATCTAACACTATCTCCAGATAGATAGTGCAGAAATGAGTTAGATTGTAGGACACCCAGCTGGTGTTACAGTTTGGTGTGGGAAAAGAAGCCCACATTTGATGACCAGAGTGTCAGAAGTGAAATGTTCTGTGTGAAAGTAAAGAAGAAAGACACAGGGAGGAATGAACTGAGTTTTTCCCAAAATAGTAAGTACTCTAAAATTGGAGGGATATTGTACTCTGTTTTGTTTGGAACTTACCAAGAGCTGTGAACCATTTCGGGAAATAATGTCACCAAAAGCCACATCACTTGTAATAATTTGAGTAGCCCATACTCACTGGAGTCATTCTGCATTTGTAGCTCCTGCATTCATGGTGATTCTACATATAGGTGCAAGCATCTATAATCATACCCTCTAGTGTAGTCATGCCTGAGCATTCATATCTTGAAACATATTATAATTCACTGTCTGTATTTTCTATTACAATAGGGCATTATATATTATTTTTAAGTTTTTGGATAGTTAGGTATATTTGTTATTTGTTGTCTGTAACAAATTATCCCCAAACTTAGTGGCTTAAAACAAACATTTATCACACAGTTTCTGTGGGTCAGGAATTTGGGTGCAGGTTAGCTGCGTGAAGTTTAGCTGGCTCAAGGTCCCTTATGGTGCTGGCAGGGTGTTTGCCTGGGACTGCAGTCTCATCTGAGATACTGATGGGGAAAGATCCACTTCCAAAATCACTTACATGGTTGTCCACAGGATTCAGTTCCTTCCGGTTGTTAGACTAAAGGCCTCAGTTCATCACGGGCTATTGCCAGAGGCCTCCCTCAGTTTTTTGCCACATGGTCCTCTCCATATGGCAGCTTACAATATGGCAGCTGGCTTCTCTCAGCACAGATGAGGGAGAGAATCAGGAACACCCAAGACAGAAACCACAGGGTTTTTTTTGTAACCTAACCTTGTAAGTGGCATCCCATCACTTCTGTCCTATTCTATTTAAGAGAATTCAACTAAGTGCAGCCTATTCTCAAGGAGAGGGGATTACACAAGGATGAGTATAACAGGAGGCAGACATCATTGGGGGTTCTCTGAGAGGCTGCCTACCACAGTAGGTTATATGACCTGTGAATGTCATTTCAGAATAATAAAGGAGACATTATAATACTTTTGTTATTTAAGGAAGATCGTTGAGTCTGATAGGGTTGAGAATAGCTGTGTTAGGTAGTGATAAAACTCTGGCCTTGTCCAGGGGTTCAGGTATAAAACATCACAGCGTCCATTATCAAGGGATAGATAAAATGTGCTGGGTACACACCAAGAAGTACTATGCAGCAATCAGAATTAATAGACTAACCACATGGACAGAGCTTAGAAACATAGTGCTAAATTTAAAAAGAAACACAATGAGATCTATCATGTAAATTAAATATAGAGACACACAAAAAGTAGATATTTTACAGGAACAAATAAGAAAACATATACATTAAAAAATATACATTAAATACATTGAAAGGTTGTGGGGCAATGCATAGATAAATAACAGGTGAAGGACTTTGGAAGGGCCAATTACAATAGTATGTCATGAACTGCAGAGTGTCAATAATTTAACCTTCTGAACCTGAGATTCAGAATATAATAGGTTAAAAAAAATGCAGTTATGAGCAGAGCAGAAATAAAGCACAGAGAATGAAAAGTCATTGTGTGCTTCTGGGAAATGTTTCAGGTGGATTACCAGAGCCCAGTTTGTTAGGTGGGAATGCAGGAAATGAGGCTGGAATGAAGCTGGAGTTAGAGTGTGAAAGGCCTGGAATGTTCTCTTCAGAGACTGAACTTCATACTGCAGAGTTCCTGGGAGGTCTTTAAGCAGAAGAGACACACGACCTATCTTTATTTTTTTTTTTAAGATTTTATTTATTTATTTATTTGTGAGAGAGAGAATGAGAGATAGACAGCATGAGAGGGAAGAGGGTCGGAGGGAGAAGCAGACTCCCTGCTGAGCAGGGAGCCCGATGTGGGACTCGATCCTGGGACTCCAGGATCATGACCTGAGCCGAAGGCAGTCGCTTAACCAACTGAGCCACCCAGGCGCCCACGACCTATCTTTAAAAAAAAAAAAAAAAGATCACTTGAGCAGGGAGACCTAGGATGAGAGATGATTAGAACCCGAATTAAAAAGAAGGAATTTAGGAGGTAGAACTTACAGGACTTTGTGTCTGAATGAATCTGATAGCAATGGAGAGAGAGGTTTATATCCAGATGGATGGAACATTATTAATATAAATTGGAAAGTAAAATGGGAAATCTATTGGGGTGGGGGGAGAAAATGAGCTCAATCTAAGAGTCTAGAGATGTCCTATAGGCAGAAGGACACGCAGGCCCGGAAATCCACAGAGAAATTGGGACCAAAGAAAATGGTGTGGGAAACATCAAAACAAAGGTGAGAGTTTAAAGACTGCTCAGCAACAAAGGCAAGAGAGAAGGGGGGCAAAGGGGAGATCCTTAGAAATGGTACATCGCGAAACAGAAAAGAAGGAATGGTTCAAGAGGTAGTGTTGAAATAGATTTCTAGACCCACGGTGAAGCCATTCCTGCCCCAGGTGCCATGTCAGCAAATGGAAACTTAATTGTTCTGTTTAACCAGAAATGCAGCATATTCCTTAGCCAATCCCCAAATGCCAAGGCAATTCTGGGCCTTCTCACTCCAAACAAGGTTGACTATCAGCCAGCCAATCAGATATTTTCATTTTTCTCTTTCTTGTTCTTTATTCTTTATCCTATAAAAGCGTTCTGCCTTCCATGAAGTGTTCAAATCCAAGGCCTTTTCCTAAATCTCTTTAATCATTTTTAACTGTAGGAAGAGATAAAGAAGAAAGATGAAGAGGAAAAGAACGTATTTCGAAAGCCAAAAGAAAAACTTTCAAAAAGAAGCAAGTGGTCAGGAGTGCTCTGTGCCACAGAGATTAAGAGTTTAAGAGATTGAAGATGAGGTTTAGGATTTGACAATTAGGAGGTGGTAGAATAATCTGGACAAAATAGTTTCAGGGCAACAGTGAAGACGGAAGCCAGATTATAAGAGGTTAAGGAATGAGTGTATAGTTGGACAGTGAAGGGTAGAAAAGCGAAGAGAGGAAAATAGCCTTAAAGGGCAGTAGGCTCAAGGAAGGTGGACTTTGAATAAATGATTACCAAATGAGTACGGCTGTGAATTTGTGCCAGACACTTAGCTAACTGCTAGAAAAAGTCAGGTTTTTATTATGGCAAAAAAGTGGAATGAGCTTCTGAAGAAAAGGTTAATGACAAAAGAGATTTGTTTCCAAAAGAATGGAGTCAGTAGAGAGGCAGACAGCAGTAGCTGATAGAAGGGAGCAGTAGAGCTGAGTTGTGGGAGAAAAATTGGGACCAAAAGGCAGTGGGAGGGGCTATCAGAAATGAGGAAAACAGGAGGCTGGGTGGTGGGCTTGAAGCATATATTAGGATGGGATAGGAGAGGGCAGGCAGGTAGTACCAACTAGACCCCAAATCCAGGAGAAGCTAAGCAGTCCCACCCTCACCCTGCCCCCTCCCCTCCACCCCTCACTCCCTCCCCTCCACCCCAGGGGACAGACTTAGTGCCACTCCCTGTTGGGGCTGAGGTAGTGTCATTTTTTTAAAGTGGCTTTCAGAATTTCCACAATAATCTTGTGCAGTCTTAACCATCTGCTTCTTTACC